AATAGGTACTATGGATAAAAATGCTAAGTAGCTGTATTACAGTATGGACAGTATTATTTAATCTTAAGAGCTTGAATGTGTCTGTGTAATCGAAGTGTGCACACTCTTCTCTCATGGCAGGTGAGGGCAGAATGGTAGCTTTCAACAAAACAACAGAGTGTTCTTACCGTAATAAAAAGGTACTTTAATTTTCTTTAGATTCAGTTGTTTCCATTAGATTAACATTTCTGTCACAGAGATCTACTGTTAGCAAAAAATAGAAATAGCTGATACATACAGCTTTTGCTGTATTTTGCATTTTGGTATATGGACTTTATTAATTATGAAGCATCTCGTATCATATTGAATACTGTTGAAATACTGGTCTTTATTGAGCAAATGATGTTTTGAATTCCAGGAAATGACCTTGTAAAAATGGAAGTAAGAAAAGGAAATTAGCCTATGTTAGAAACTCTCCGGGGGGGAAAATGAAGACAAGAAAGTTAGTGCAAACACAGGGCAATGACAGAGGCTGAATCAGAGAAAGGTGGGGATTTTCACAGAGAATGAGGAATGTATGGAGCGTGGGTGAAAGGTGTCTGACAGTTTTTCATGCGTAGAAATGCCCACTTAATCTTTCCAGAAGCTCAATAGTCTCTTCCAATTGTACCAGTTAATTAAAAACCCCACGCAGACCCAAACCCCCTATCTGCACTGTGTCTTGCTACTCTGGTAATCTACTAGAGAAATCCAGCACACTTGAAGACAGACCATGTTTCAAGTGTGACTGGGCCTGAATGTTACAGAATGATGCAGCCAGCTGCTCGAAAGCCCCCAGCTTTGTGTCTGTCTGTTTTAACCCCATTCCCACTGGCTCCTCTGACTGTTCCTCTGGACTGCCATTAAACTGTGTTTCCAAAGGGGCTGCTAGATTTATGGATTCTCTCTTTTAGCAGAAAATGGTGGTGATCGCCAACAAAAGTAATGAGCCAGAAGGAAAATGGAACTTCCCATCAATGTGGATGCTTTCAGGCTAATGGGATCCATGATGGTGGAGGAGGGAGGTAAGGTACAATCTGTTTTGGAGTATCTGGAGTGCCTGGGAGCACATCAACCCAGATAGCTCCCAGCAAGGTATCTTTCCCATGCACCAGATCATTTATGGTCATAGGGTATACTTTTACTTTGAGAACTCTCTGGTCTTTCTGCTTGTGCTCAAAACCAGGACCTCCTGCAAATGGTGTAGACGCAGTGACACCACCTCAGGGTCCTGGTGTTGCAAGGGAGTATCCGGGACAGGTTGACTCACCTCCTCCTGGTGACGTGAGTCCTTGGAAAGAAAGGGACCACCCTGTTCACAATGGCCAAGCCTTCTCAGTGGACGTACATCCAAGCCTTAGTGCCGTTTTCCATGAACTTGGTTTGCCTGGGGCAGTGGCGCTGCTGCAGTGGTTGCAGCTAGGCTGTCTTGCAGAGCACAGGCTGAAGTGAAGTCTGAAAGTCTCTTCTGCCCTGCAGTGAAATATGATGAATTCTGGTGTTCTCATGCAAGGTGATGTAATGTAAATAAGGTATGCTTTTTTATTATTGAAAATAATAAAAATAACTTAGTTTGCAGTATATGAACAGCTCTCTCACCAGGCCCTTCCAAATGTTTTAAGTGGGTCATGACATGTGCTGGGCATTGATCTGGCATACCTCATACCTCCATCATGTGCAATAACAACATGTTTTTCTCATGCGTGCAAATACTTGGGTGTTTGCAAATACTATACTTTGTAGCACCCGACACCTCAGGCTGTAAATAGGGGAGGGGAGGGCTGGGCGAGCCCGCCCCGCAGACCGAAAGGGGGTCAGCAGCCGCGCCTCCAGTCCCCCCCCAAACCCAAACTGAACTCAGCGGTGACATCTCCCGGCGATGCGGCTTTCCCCTCCCAGGCCGAGTACGCAGGCCCGGCCGCCACCCGCCTG